TTCTTGCCAAGCCTAAGTGTGTGTGTCCGATGGACATCCGAAGGTGACAGCATAAAGATTTACAGCATGTACATGTATGTATGTGTTTGTCCACACATAGACGGATAGATCATTCAACACATGACAGATGGAGCTGCACATTTTCGCTGGTACACGAGGATACTGAAAATTCATCTTACACAGCTGGTGACATGACGCTTGTTGCTTACTTATCCCATGAACCGTTTGGTCGGATTTATCAGCTCTAGACCTCCGCGCAGCTGTAAGCCGCCGGCAGCATCCTCAATGAATGCAGCTGGAAGAGTGGCAGCCATGCCTGTCACGAGAATTTCCTGCCGACCTGACTAACTCTCGCACTACCTCTATTGGTGATTACACTTTACCTCATGCTTTGGCAATACTAGCTGATAGAGTGCTCGGCGGCGTCTTCTCTTCTTACTGATCTAATAGGAGTGCGTGTGTGCACTTATTGCCGCAGTTTGGATTGATCTTATTGAAGAGCAAGGGCCTCTCTCCCCGAATCTGAGATTTCTCTGTCCTCTTAGGGTTGCACATATCCTTGGATTCTGCTACGACGACAATGACGATTCCCAATGACGAGCACGAGGACGACGACTGTACATACTGCTACTCGATGCTTCAAATCACTGTGGCGTTCTCCGACCGACCTGGGCTCTTGCTGAGGCTCTCACCATACATGCCGGCAGTCTTTTTGAACTTGTCCGGATCTCCTCGAGCTTCTTGCACCGCTTGCACTGCAGCCTTTCACCAAGACATTGGAAAGCCCGCGTTCACTTCCGGTGTCACTTAGCAGTGTCTCTAACATGCCTCAAGATCAATGAGAAACTGCTTGGCGTTCTTTGCGGTGAGCAGGGTCCTAAAGAATCAACATGGTCGTCCTGCACGGCTTGAGAGGGTCAAATCTGAGGTCATCGCACTGCAAGATGAACGCATGCTGGATTCTGGCCTGCGGTTGTGAAGGCACTGGAGTTCTTGAAAAAGTGAAGCCACTTGGATGAAGTACCAAGGCAACGGCAAGTGGCCAGTTCCCAGCCAGATTGCCTTGGGCTGCGCTGTCGCAAGATCCACAATGACAAGCAGGAAACAAGCAAACTGCTTGGGCCAGGAGCTGTTTCAGGCAGTCAGCCACAGCATAGCAGCTGAAGCCTTAGCAGTAGCTCTTCTATTTGGGGGCTTTCACGGTAAGCCTAAGCTCTGCTCGTGGCCTGCGCCTGCGTCCGTGTCGAAGGCCACTACGCACACCTGGAGCTCACGTGATTCATTTTTCTCAGCCGCAGGGTTCTCTGCCTCGGCTCGCCCCACCACGTGGATCCCTGGAATCTTCTTGATACCTGCCGGGAGGCCGGGACGATGAGTCGCCGCGATCAAGGCGCGACTCATCGCTCCGAGCCTTCTGCGATCTGCCTTGCAGCACCAACGATTTGCCGGGTTGTCTCGACGTAGCCTTCTACACCGAACCTGAGGAAGTGCTGAGAGTGGTATCCAAAGTGCAGGCTGTTAACTCTGGGTGGCGCCTGCACATCGCAGCCCACGTGGCGGCTACGGGGCCACCAGGTCGTGAGCCTGTCCTCGGCTAAGGCATCCCCCTCTGCTCTTGGGCCTGTGAAGCTAAGCTTCGAGCATGGTGGGCGTCGCATAGATACCTCCGGACCAGTCGGTCAAGTAGCAGTACATGTGATGGCCTGGGCGGGTGGCATGCATCATTCATCTCGCGGATCTTTCACCACGTGATACTACAGGCTCCATGCTACATGCCAGGGAATGTGCTTGGCTTCGCATGATGTGCAACTTTGTGTTGCGTCTGTCGGTACTGCAAGGTTGGACGGCCAAGTAAGAATTGCAGCACGCATGCTGCTCTGAAAAGTGGCGCCGGGAGCACGGCGCAGTTCCCGGCTCGAAAACATCACCTCAGCAGCTGCGTGCAGCAAGATACACCCGCTTTCTAGTCGTGGGATAGTCTGAGGATTCTGCCACTGAGCTTCCCTTTGGAGCGAAACCGTACTTGTGAGGATCACATGAGATTGATGTGACCTGGATTGGCAGAGATCACGTAAACAGACGAAGCTGAGCGGTTGAGCTCGGAGCCCCAGGAACTCTGAAGTCGAAGGGCGGCAGGGGGTAGCCGGCCTGAGCTCTTAAACCTCCCGCTCTGGAGTGGACAGTGAGGTTTCGGCCTTCTCCATGAATGGAACGAGGAAGCCCCCCAGGCAACCTTGAGCTTAAGCAAATGCCCTAGGTGGCAGCCTGTCCGAATGCAGCAGGGCTGCAGTCCACGTGGAGCCCAACATTGTGCTTCTTGGCGATCTGAAAAGGCATGCACCAGTTCGAAAGGAAGCGAATCTCGCAGCCTCGCAGCGCACCTTTCCCATGCTTTCGATCGGATCCACGGTCCCATGCGCATATTGGCAACAAGAGCCTGACAAGGATCGGATGAGCTTTGCCGCAAGAGGCCGCGTGCTGCGCTATCACGAGCTGGGGTGAGGCCTACAATGGCAACGGTGTTGCTATCGATGAGCTGCTCCAGGTGCTTCAGATCCACAGCCATGTCTTTGTCGGTTCTGGCCTTCTTCACCTCAGACTGTTCGAGCCGCGCAATGCCTTCCGACTGGTGGAACTGCTGCAGCCAGCTCAACCCTAGTTTGGGAGCCGGACAAAGATCTTGAAATACTTCCCTGCCTCCCGGAGGGCTGGGACCGTTCATGCTCCGGACTGACGGCGCTCCACGGGAGACCACGACGCAAAGAAGAGATTTGTTGCAAACGATATGACCACATGCTCGTTACGGCAACGGGTTGGCTTTAGGACAGGGCGCCATCGCCTTGTCAAAAGCGGCATGCGCCGTGTTGCACACGACAATGTTTGGCTCCTGTAAAAAATGTGGCATAATATCCCTTGAAACTGTTCCGCTTCTCATCATCCGGCGCACCCGAATGCCCTTTTCGGCAGCTCCCCAGTCACGATGTGCTTTCATGGCCATCAGGATGCTCCTTAAGTTAGGACAAATCTCGGACAAACTAAGTCAAATGAACCTGACAAGAAAAGTGCTTGCTAAGCTCATGAGAACCAGGCTCAGTCCCTCCAGTTGTGAAAGCTCCGCCTTCGTGCAGCTGGGCATTTCCGAATGGGACTCGAAGATTGATTGATGGATGCGGCACTATTGCGACAGGGGCACAAGCATCTTCGCCGCCATTGTACATGTTTATGACCATCCGCACAACCTGAAGACATATGGCTTCCAACAAAGCTTGTCGGAGCCAGTTGCGACGTCTCGGCACCTCGGCGTCCATCTGCCGCAAGGACCTGGCACCCCGAAGAGCGAGGTGCTGACAAGCTGAGCTCGGACGAGTTTTGAAGAACCGTGGCGGGTTTGCGGATGCAAGTCCGGATGCAAGGGGTTGCAGAATGCCCACTTGGAAAACACCTTTCCAATAAAGTCGTAGTGCCTTCAGCATTCGCTGAGTTCAAGGCAGCGGCTCGCGACGGGCTCGCGTTGCTCATGAGCCCCGGACTCCTGCCCGCCGTGGTACACGGCACCCGTGATCTTTCCGCAGGTCCAGCGTGTGGTGTCCTGCGCTGTCGCACTGCTATCGCTGTCGCCTCTAAGCCCTGTGAGCAGAGCCATCTTCCCGACTGAGGCCCCAACCAGCTGCTTACGCTGCTCGATTAACGTCAGAATCTCCTGAAATCCCACAGACGGCACTCCAGTGTCGGCATCTATCCGAATCCCAAGTTTTGCCTGATCCGGGATACCTTTGCCAGGCAGGTGCATTCGTGGGTCCGTGAGATCCTGCAAAGTCTCTGAACTGATTTATTCTTCTTCCTCCTCCTCTTCTTCCTGTCGGGGCCCACCTTGGAGAAGGCGGCCCTCATGTCGGTTTGTGTCTTCAGCATCTCTTTCTGGAGCTTCGCCTGAACCTCGCGTGGCAAGGCAGCACGTAGAATTTCCACAAGCTCGTCCGCTTTGGGCTGAGGAGCTTGCCATCGGCAGCTTCTTCAGGTAAGGCATCACAAGGTCTCAGGGGGAAAAAGATCGACCGAAGAACTTCACCTCGGCCAACTGGGCTCCAAACCCAAGAAGAACGCCTTCAAGCCCTCGTGCCTGCACAGGGCACCCAGGGGTGTTGGCAATGAGGGGCGGATTTCTTAGCCTCACAGCCGAACACACAGAGAGGATAAGAATCGTCACTTCGTTTCACTTCCTGGCTGTAGTGCTAGGTCCGATATGACTGCTCCTGGGCTTTATCGGGATGGCCTTCATTGATGGAGACCACTCAAAAAGCTGCATGCGGTTGTTGCGCCAATGATTGTCAATGGTTGCCTACAGTACATGCCAATGTTTCACTGGCATCTCTGCGACAGCTGCTTCTATATCTGACCCCATAATCCTCATACACGTAGCAGTCTGGGCTGTCGCAGTGCCTCATGATCCATCTGAGGCGCGCCAAGAGCTTCACCTGGCATCACCATCTGATTCCCTGCACGTCACTTTTTCCTCCGCAACTGCGGCAGCGCCACAGCAAGCGCCAACAGGGCACTCCTGCGAAGGATCTCATACGGCCTCGGTACTCGGCCAGTTTGGCTCTCGATAGTGCCATGCAAGCGTCTGCGCATGTCTGCGCTTTGGAGCATGGCTCCATGCCACGGAACCATTGATTCAAGGCCTTGGGAGCAGAAGGGTGACTGAGGGCGTTCAGATCCAGAAGGGCCCGGCATCCCACTCAGCTCCTGACATTCCTCAACGGGCGCTCCAAAGTCAAGATCATGATCGCGGAACCAGCTTTCTTTGGAGGCTTATCTTCAAGAAGGAGGGTGATCAAAGTCGGTGGCACCGATACGGCCAGGACTAACAGACGCTTTCTTCAGAAGCCGTCGAATGCCACAGAAAGGTCCCGACCTACACGAACAAGATGTCTTGATTTGGCATCGAACGACTCTACGGGTCAGCTGTGGGCCCAAATTTGGCATGAGGCTGCTGCTGGCAGTTGACAGACCCAGAATACGCCACAGGTACCATGCATCGGGAGCCAAGAGTGGAAAGCCTTCAATGTACAGATGTGAAGAACACAGGGCCTCCACATCCCAATGTAGCGATCTCCATCTCCATGGGCAAAACTGCCCATACCAGTCCTTCAGGATCCGAGCAGTCCAGAGAACTGAGCAGTCCAGAGAACTGCACAGGGTTTCTGCGCAAAGCAGAGTTTATGTGCTCTCAGTTCACGACACCACGTTGTTCTTCCACTCACCAATGTACTCGGCACCTTTCATGCTGTAAGCCACTCTGAGCGCGGCAGCCGGAGTGAATAGCAATCAAGCTGGCTGCACCATCCGGCCAAGTCTGTTTGCCCAGGCCATCTCGAGCATTTCCTAACCACTGCCTGGCAGTGGAAGCCAGGGAGCCAGCAAGTGCAGGCATGATAAATACCTGCACGCCATCAAACTGAGCCAGGCACCCATCGTACACAGCACCCGTCTTGAACACATGCCTCTTGCGGGCACGCCTCAGCGACACGCGTGAATCTCGGGGAACCGCCGGCACAATGCATACCATGCACTCGAGGCTGGTGACAGTTTGACTCACATCCCCACGAGCCTTTACATCCGGCAAACCTCTTTTGGGGTGCTCCGGGTTTCCTCGTAGATCTCCGGCGAAAGCAACTTGAGTAACTCAGGCTTCCTTTAAAATCAGGCACGGTATCATTTAAGATTGCAGGGTGTCAGCATTTTTGCACTGGCAGAGCGTGCAACATGCGCGCACACATTTTCTAATTACACACAGTAAGTCTAGTATAATTTCAATGTTTTCACTTCCTAAACTTATGACACACACCATGACATAATATACCATGTAACGAAACACGACACTTCGAGGTTTGGCGGTGTTCTCTGAATGCTTTTCAAGCAATCTCCTCAACAATGCAAGTTTAGCAGGTGGTACCATGGGCTCACAGCAATGAGGGTCGCCAGGCTTCTGAGGGTGCTTTGCAGCTTTGCATTCTGTACAACCTACAAATCGAACCCCGCAGAGCCATGAGATTGAATCTCTGGTGAGATTCGTAGCGTTATATATAGTTAAGTGCACTGTCGACTATAGCACTTGTTGCCTAGATTGTTCGGGTTTGCACGAGTCAGTTCATAGGACTGGTCATGCAGGAATCTTACTCTTGAGCATTGCTTGAGTGTGTTGGAAAGCTATTCGGCTGCAAGCCTTGAGACACTGGAACGGATGACTGCGAAACTGGACTCTTGTGGTGGTCCTACAATGCAGTTTTTCGAGATTCGTTGTCGGGAGGCAATTGTGACGGCAGGGAATGTGAAGATTGCAGTGCCCAAACACTTGGGATTTGTGGGATCTCTTGAGAAATATGGCTGTACACTGTGCCAACATGGGATTGCAGTCGAAAGGGCTGGGATACATGTCATGTAGGTGTGTGTCTGTGTGTGTAACATTGTAGGACATGCTCAAAGCATCCTACTCCGACCATGCGTTTGGACACGCAGACACAGCTCTCGAACCGCGGACCATCAACGAACTAAGACACAGGCACGAGTGGTCCACCTCCAAAATGCTGAAGGTTCTGTAGCTCTCCAGCCTCTAGACAGGTAGCTCGCTTTGGAGAGGTTTAGGGTCTCACAGCTTTGAGCCTCTTTCAGGAAGTAGTTCGCGGCCAACGATTCCGACGTACCGTCATCAGCCTAAGCATCTTGATGTTGCCAAAGGCAGACCACAGGATGCATCTCCGGTTCGTTTGTGTCTAGCATTCAGCCCTCCACAGCCACCGGTGTGTCCCCGGCATCCGAGCCTCAAAATCTGACAGTGACATGGCAAGTTGCAGAGCATGGCAGAGAGATGTGCCGCGAAGGTCTTTGGCTTCGGATAGACCTTGGGCAATACACAAAACGCACCAACAAAAACTGGACAGTGGAGCTGCGATGGCTTCGCGGTCACTCGGGCGCAAGGCTGGATGCTACGGCCTGCCTTGGCTGTGAAGGCAACTGGGACATGACTGGGGCATCTCGTGTCACTAGCAGTCAGGGCGGCTGCTTCTGATCGCCGTCCTTCAGTCGGACGGAGCTGGGAGCCGCATCCTGACAGAAGAGGCGCGAGGAGCCTCTTGGAATGCGCATGGAATGCATATTCGAATGCATGAGACGCTCACGGCTCCATCGAAGCCACGGTTCAGAGGCTCCACCTGAACCAAGAACAGTGCTCTCGTTACAGCCACAGGCCGACAGTGCAGACGATCCTGAGGAGCCCCGGAGGTGTCGTACTGCTCTTTTCGGGACCGTGGTCTCATTTCCGAATGCTGCACCGCACTTCCTCAGCGACTGGCAAAGCTCCGGAGCCAAAGCATCCTCAACAGCACTTAATGCCAACCTCCGAGGCCGCAGAAGGAATCAGCATGACAAACAGAGGCCTCAAACAGCAAAGCATTCAGGACTTGAGATCATGGACCTTGCTGCCCGAGCTTTTCTGAGCTTCTTGCTCCCATGCTGCAGGGCGAGCACTATCACTCTGATTCACGTGTCTACCCTCCTCTCTTGGGCTTCTTCTGGCTGTTTCCTGTCCGGACTAAAGGGTATCGGATGGCTGCGTGCACCAACGACAGGCTGTGTCTCTCGGCAGTGCGCCGGTGGGGTCTTTCCTTTGCGATGCAAGTGCTATAGAGCGCAAAAGAACAGCTGTCGCGTCGAGAAAATGCGAATCAATGCTCGGCACAGGAACAGGAACTCTCAACATGTGTGGAGTATCGCAGGCCGCAGATTCACTTGCATCGGCCCGGAACAAAAGAGAAGGCACTTTTCCTCCAAGCAACTTGTACAATGAGTACCTTTGCTCATATCTATGAATCCTACGGAACGCTGGAACGTTGAGCCCACCATTTCCACGCACGACTACGCGGCTGGGGTCCGTAAACCGGACATGTAACTGCAGCCGCTTTCAGTCCCCCGAGCTCTGCGAATCCCTGCCTCAGGCCAGGGCAGGCTGAAAGCTCCGGCCCAAAGCACGTAAGCATGGCGTCTGAGCCAGCAGCCCCCTCCTCTCTGGCCAAACCAAGCCTGTCCCCGTTGCAGATCTAGCGATGGCTCATGTTTCAAGCGGCGGTCCTCCAGCTCCATGAGACCTGGAAGCGATCGCAAGAAGCCTCTTCGAAGCTTCTTTCTCTCCGAGGCTCTCGCGTGCTCGCTCCTCGCGTTCGGTCTCCTCCAGCTCGGCGATGCGGGCTGCATCCTGGGCACAGACACTCTCGGTCTCGACGACTAACTTTCTCAGCGAGAAACTCCTTCGCTCAGCGCCAAACCCACGCAAGTTGCGCTCGAGTTCGCTCTGCTTCGGCCTCGGAGGCGAAATCCAACTCTTTGTGGCAGCCCACATGCACCAACGGCTGTCTGATATGTGTGTACTCTTCGAAAAACATACCCCGGGTTTGGAAGAAGACAAGCCGGCACCGCTTCCTGCCTGAAACCGGCACAGCTAAGAGCATTCCAGTCACCCTCCTAGTCCTTTCTCCAAGACTGACCGTCCGTCAAATGTCGTGCTTGCGGTTGCAACTTACTGAATGGCTCTTAGATGCTCCTAGCTGCATCATCGCTTTCAACAATCAAGCCTTGTTTCGTACCGAGTGTAAACGAGCCTTCCAGGATCCTCAGATCTCTACAGCTGGCAGGCTGAGATGCTACTGGGGCACTGCCTCCCAGAGACAGTTGCTAACAGCAGAACCGAAGAAAATGACCTCAATGTCTGATGTGTTGTTCCGAGGGCTCCCAAGCACTTTTGGGATCCTCATGCAAACTTTCTGGTGCAGGGGGGGGGGGGGCTTTTTTAGCCAAAACAAAAGACCACATTCGTCCCGATTAACCCTGCTGTTGCTCGTGACAACCTACACAGAAACTGCACTCCCAACAAACAACAGGCAGGGAGGCCGACCAGAGCCAGCTCTGCCTGCAGGCGGCTTCTTGCAAAGCTTGGCTGGCTGCAACCAGTAGGTATGATGCATGCATTGATGATGCATTGAGGCACTGCTTCTGTGTCTTCTGTGGTCTTACAGGACATCATACGGCACTGCAAGTGGGCAGTGTTCTTGCCATCCATTGCTTTATCATGTCGTACTTCTATTGGTGTAATTCCAAACGTATTTCTAGCATTGTCACATATATCAAGAAACTTACACAGCACAAGCTGTCCTTACAACTTCAATTGTGAAGAACTGTGTGGCCTATGTACGTTCGACACATGTCAGATGCTGGTATCTAGCTGCATAGGCTATTGTACATCTTTTATGCGTGCATACAGTGTGATGTATCATGTCGTGCGTGCAATTCTCTCCACTGTACAGCTGCGGCAGGATGTTCAAAATTCGAATACACATCTTCTAACATCATGATTCATAATTATCATGAAGGAATTATCTGAAAGCAAAAACATCCAAATCTTCAGAAAGCGGCTCCAAGATGCACATCAGACCCGTTTGTCTGTATTCTCTGGTTTCTCCGTTGGCCCGAGGCGCCTCCGCTTCATCGAGCTTCTTCTGTTCTTCCGATATGGCAGTGGCCTCGAGGGATCCACGATCTGCGAGCAGCAACAGGCTCAGCCTGATCTTCTCGCTTCACTTAGGGTCCAGCTACGAGGGATGCCTGCTCACGGTTGCGTTTCCGAGCATGGCAAAGATTTTCATGCTGCTCAAAGCGATGCCTCAGATGGAATGAGGCAAAGCCCCACGACGATGGCTACCGTAATGACCTGACATTTGGGCAGAGGAGCCGTGTCCCACCTGAAAAACCGCATCCCGAGGCTCCATCGAGACGTCCGGCAGCCCTCGGCAGAAAAAGGGCTGCTCTCCGTGCTCTCCGTTCCCAAGTGGGCTCGACTGCTAAGGTGCCCACGTCATCGGCTCAATGTCTCCGAACCCGACCGTGGAGAGTGCAATCACACTGAAGTAGAAAGACGAGAAGATGTCTGCAAACCTTCCAGAGGGCAGCGGGCCCAGAATGCGTGCTTGTGGCTGTTGTGATGCCAGAGACACCCTGGCCACCGTAAGAAGCAGACTGCGGATTCACCGTATGCTCGGCTTCGTAGCACAGCCTGTAAAGTCTGAGCAGAGCAGACTTGGGGTTGGGCTCGGTGCGACACCCCACCCGGCGGTGACGAAGATCAGTGTAAAGACCACGCCGAATGTTCGGAAGACCTCTGGCTCCATGGATCTACGACTACATACGAGTACCAGGAAGTCCAAGAGTGGCCTGCAACTGGTAGGACTTGACTCCTCGGAGGCCATCCTCGTAGGGCTTCGCCTGCCGTGACTTTTTCGGAGAGCTAGAACCGCTAGGAATGTTCCCATGCCTGATCGGGTCCGATCAGGATCTGCAGGAAACTCCGGAAAGCCTGACAAAGGCTTTCATTCACATTCTGTGTTGTTTGCTTTTCGATCGGTCTGAAAGCTGTTGCTCCATGCACATGGCAAGATGAAGATAGACGGACGCACCTTCGGCCGGAAGAAGCCTTAGCCGAGCCCTCTGCATCCCGAAGCTCTCAGCTGCTCCTAATCTTCCTCCAGTCACGGAACGATAGATCCTCAGGACGCGAATCAGTTTCAGGAAGTTGAGCTCCATGGAGCTGATGGAGGGAACCTCAAGCGTCTCCCCAGAGACACAAGCGCAGCATGGCGCCGCACAACGCAGCAACATGCTTCTCAGTCCCCGACCCAAGGCCGAAGCAGAAAGGGCAGAACACCAATCAGGTCAACTATCCTTGGATAGCAGTTGCGATTTCGCAAATTGCACAAAAAGTGCTGTACCGAATATTGCAGACCGAGAAACATCAGCGGGTTCAACAGGTACTGCCAGCTCATACCACGACACCACCATCCTTTGCAGCCCAAGATACAGAATCTACGTGCGCTGCCAGGTGAAAGCACGTTGAAAGCCAGAGCGGTTGTGTGCTGAGGGTGTCTCGAGCCATGTAATCCAGGAAAAACAAAGCATTGATCGAAGAGGCTGCCCTCAGGCTCGAGAATTTCGACAACATGAAGCCAGAAAAGAGCTGTGGCCGCGGCGCGGCCAAGACTCGGATCGTACCCTCCGTGACTCCGGGCCTTTTTTTTGAGCACTCGCAAGCAACTCTTCCTTGGGCCAGGTCTTGGGAGTCGGCGACCGCGCCACCACATAAATGGCGCAGGCCAAGCCTCGTTGCCAAGAGCCGGGAAGCTAGCGCTGCGAAATGCGGGTCTTTGGATCTCAACAGTCAGCTCCTAGGCAATCCTAGGCCCACGGCCAGCGAGGAGTGCATTGGAGATTTCTGATAGAGGCGCGTGTTGCAACCGATCGATTTCTGCCTGGTCGCGCCGGACAGGTTCTGAGCATAGTCTTTGTCCCGGACACAGGGCTCTTCACAGCACAGCATGTCCAAGGCGCCGACGGCATAAGGCAAAGGCTTGAAGTTCTCTTCATTTGCCAGCCTGGTGCCCGTCGTGTTTGCATCAAGCTTTTCGTGGCTTTAGCTATCCCACCACCTGAGACGCGTTTGACTGCTGCACAACAGTGTGTTCCAACTGTCGGTGGCCTGAGGTATTCTTCATTCCAACTGTCCTCGAGCTCTACCTGTGGAGCAAACAAGACAGCTCAGCTGAGCACAAGCCGAGCACAGATGCCTTTCGTTTCGGATAGTCGGACGAATGCAATCAAGCATCGTCGTTTTGTCCGGGGGCCACTCTGGTTTCCGAGGACGATGATGTGGCTGGCTCTGGCGGTGGTGTCTCAGCTTCAGCTTCGATCAGGAAGCCCACGCATGTAGATGCCAAGGCATCCGTGAGGGACCCATCGCGGCCCAGCGAAGAGCTCTCGAGGCAAGAAATCCCCACACCCTGGTCGGCAAGCTCCTTGCCCAAGCCATCCTCAATGGACCCCAAGCAGGACACACGTCACGGGACTAGTGGTCAGGCATTCTGCGCGGCCTTTAAGCCACAGGCAGGGCTGTCAAGCAGCTCATGTTGCAGGCCAAGCATCTGCTAGGGATCGCACAAAGGCCATCGAACCTGCGAACGCACAGGCGCCTGCAATGCCCGGAGTCGATCCTGCCGGCGCCCCCACGAGTAGGATCCGACCACGCTTCGCCTGCACCATGTCGGAAGCAAAGAGCCGGCAGAGGGCCGCAGTTGCCCCAACGTTCTGAGCGAGCATACGGTCCAGCTTCTCCACACTTTGGCTCAGAAATGGACCTGTATAAGAAAATTGATCTGAACAAAGCATCAACATGCAGACATCCAAGTCTTTCAGCTTCTCGTAGAGGTCTGATGCCCCTTTCGACGGGTCAGCGAGGCTACTTGGTACCCTGAGGATGCGATCCGAAGTACTGCTCCCTGCGATCTGCGCAAGGTCCAGGTTCTGAAGTGCTGACTCCTCGTCGGTGAGTACAAGGCCAAAGCCTGCCTGTTTTGCAAAGGCAATTTAAAAGAAAAGCAGCGGACTGGGACTCCTAGTGCCCTTGGAAAATTATACAAGACCGAAGACTGCCGGCACGGCTTGGAGATGACTCTAAGTCTCGAGAGCAGATCCGTCGTTGCGAAGAGACTTCGGCTCGGCTTTGATCGTCTCAAGAAACTTCTCAAGGCCAGTGGCATAATTTAATTCTTATTCTCGCTGCTGATGCCGGACTACAGGAGCTTATGTAGCAACGCCTGCTCGCAGCTGTGTGCTGATGCTGACAGCAGTATATTCTGATGCACAACGACTCCAAAATACCGCAGTCGGCTACTACGACTTTGGAAGTGCCCCTGAACCGCTTACTTCATGCGCGGTTTGACCCATCTTCCAACAGGCTACTATTATCACGTGCAACGCAGATGCACAGCTCATGGAAGAGGGCCGTGTCACAGAAACATCTCTACACCACTGCAATTTGCGGCAACAACACTTCTTACCCAGCACAGTAAGTTCATAAGAATCTGAGCCCCAAAGCTGACTCCGGCCTCTGCACAGGCTGTCGCAAGTTTTTGGCCTAGACCCGACGCAGCGCCCGTGACCAGTGCCCAGGAGTCGCAGGGCAAAGGAAGCGGAGACAGGTCGCGGTTGTGGCCGTTGTGGCTGTGGGCACGACAGCGGATGTGCGCTCCGATTCCCAGCGCGACACCGGTTGCAAGGGACCACTTTGGATTACCCGCCCGGTTGGGGCCCGGTCGGCTCGCCTGGGAAGGGGTTGGCCACGTCGGATAAAAAGGAGTCCGCTGCGCCCACATCAGCTCAGGCGCCAATGGCATTGGGGGGTTCATTCGGGGATGCGGTGGCAGAGCCTTGCAGTATGCCACACTTCTTGGAGTTTTATGTAAAGTCAAAGTCCGTGCCTACCAACTAACAAGAGTAGTGCTGTAACAGGTATGGACACTCAACGGCTTGCTGGCTGCGAGCGGAAGAGCATCCAAAGCACGCCTACACAGGAACATGAAGCCACAGCGTGGGTCTGGCCTTTTCTGATCGCGCATGGTAAGCGATAGACACGCCAGTTACTGCGCAAACAGGAAAGAGGAGTGAGCGGCTGCATCAACAAGCGGCGGTGTCCAATCCCACCTCGGGTCGACGACACTCTTCGGCAAAATGAGCTCATGTCATTGATGGGTGTGATCGCACCAGGTGGTCAAGTTGGAGAGAATGAGCCAAACGAGCTGTTGAGGCAGGGGTGCTCAGCATGGCCGGTGAAGGTAAAGTTCTAACAGACTGCTAACTCAGCGATGATCTCAAACTTTGCCGGCGGCAGCCACACAGCCAATGGAGACAGTTCATTCATGCCCAGACTACCCAGAAGGAGTGATAAGTCTCAAACACCTTGGCCTTGAACCAGCACAGAACAGCAAATGAGACAATCCGAACAAGGGAACAGCTGCATTTCGAAGGTGAGGCCTGCTAGGCTCTGAACACACGAAGGGCAGGGTTGCCAGACTGCTGCTGCTGAAAGCGAATTCTTCCTGTTTTTTAAAATTGTTGGCAAACGACCGGAACACACGTTCTGCAAATGCTCTCGTCTGCCAATCGACGATTTAGCTCAGAACCCCACGCACTCGCTCGTTCGGATGCTTAGTTGTTTGACTTTTTGAGCATCAACGTACGTCCGAAACTTCTCTCTTGGGTCAATCTCTGGGGCTTTGGCGATCGCGCTTCCCACTCCTGCCATGGTGATGTGATCACAGGCAAACAAAAGAAAAAAGTAGCACAGGGCCTCTGCAGCTGAGGATGTCCGGAGCACTGCGACAACGGCCGGCCTGCGTTCTCGAAACGGCGAAACACAACTCGCCTCAGCACGAATACGCTCAGTAACCCACTTGCCCCTGTCAGGCTGTGCCGATCCGGGAGGCCGATACCCTCGGTATGCCGACGTATGTTTGCATCCAAAGTTACAGCTGCGCATCGAATAGGGTCAGCACCCCGGACCTGGCGATATCTTGGGCCATACTGAATTCCACCAGCCTGCTTGCCGACAAGCTACGATGATGTAGCAAGGTGTCTAACATGTCAGTCGGCATCTTAGAGCCCGTCCCCGACACTGCTGTACATCGGCTTGTGGCCAATCTCCACCATCCTGAGAAGGCTTTGGCTTCTATTTCACGCCGACGTGTCATGGTGGTGACTCTGGGGCTCGTACACTAGCGATGGGTCCATTGTTGCAGATCCCTGACCTCCCAAACAAGGCTCTGACCAGGGTGGTCACAACACCACACATCTAAAGCCGACAAAAGAAACCTCTGCCACATGTAGTCTCGTGTCTTGAGCCGCTGGCCTTCGGAACTTTGTCCGGCCAGGAGCATCGCAGGAGCCTTGCACTCAGCGTCAGAGCCGCCGACAAACGGCATTGCAATGCAAGGCCGCGGCGAGCTCTTCCGGCATCCAAGACCTCCACAGGGAAGTGCAGCTTCGCAAGTTCAACACCCTGCTGTGACCGGCTCTGCGTGCTAAGCTCGAAGCTGAAGAGGCTCTAGGACCTGCAAGGGCGAACGAAAGCCCTCGGTTGCTCTTTGCATGCGGCTCTCGGCACTTGCGTGACCGACCTCTGTCAGGTCTGCAGGTGACAGAAAGGACTCCACCTGCCAGCTCCCAAGAACGCCATCGCCCCGCGCCGCGAGAGCAGACAAGGAGGTGCCTCTTTGCCATTCTCTCTGAGGCGGTGCAGCGCCCACTTGACCGGGGCAGCATCAGAGGCCTTCTCCGCTTCAAGGACAGCCGATCCTTGGCAAGGACCAAACGTGACCACAAAGCCAAAGCGCTTTGGGAGTTGAACGCTGTTATCCTCAGGGCGCCACGCAGCTCGGACAGAATCTCAGCGTGAAGCTCCGAACCTTTGCCCCCAGAACTACACAACTGCAAGGGGCAGCTCCTTCTGATTCTGAGCAGTTGACGCGGAGGCTCCAAACCCATCTGCCGGTGGAGTCGCGTCAGGAGCCTGAGCGCCTCCGCCTTCCCAGGCACCAGTACAGCTTACCGGCACCGTTTCGCGGCTCCCTCTCCCGGCCTCGGCCCCAAAGTCCCTGTGCCGACGTGCCAGGACGAGAGCTCGCTGGGCGTGGGACGCTGCGGCATCCAAGCTACCGGCAGGTGGTTCAGCCGCGTCCGCACCTGAGCAGTTTGGAACCTGCTGTTCTCCAAAGCTTCCTTTTGTGATTCCCGAGGTTTGCGTCAAGTCACGTGCTACAATGCTACAAGTCTACGATGACAGACTGCACAGTAGTTTGCAAGCATGTTCATCACCTTGAAAGCGCCCGAAATCCTCAGAATTTGTGCCACTGGAGAGCAACTGGCCATAGGTGACTTGCTCATTAGCTACATCTGCTGCGTTCAAAGCCGTGCCTCTGAACGATCCCAATCTCCGGGCTAGACATCTCGGGTTTCGGCACAACAAGCTTTCTAGCTGGAACAACTACTGAGAAGAAGCCGCTGCAAGTACGAGCATCGGCATCATTAGTCGGTATGATGACCCCGAGCAGCACAGCGAAGATCGACATCAGCTGTGAGAAATGCAAAGAAACCACGTCCTACTTTGCATCAGTCCCTGGGCCTGTCTGAAACCTGCAAACCACATCTCAGCGCCATGCTCTCAGCCACAGACTTCGCCGCCAGCAGTGACACTTGGATCTGGGCCACCTCTCCCTCCCGACCCAGCGTGCGGAGACGCCCCACCACTTGCATGATGTCATGCGCGGGCCCGGGCTGCATTGCAGAGACCAGGGCAGCGAGGGCGCCAGCCTCTGAGCGACTTCGGCCTTTGCGGGCAGAGAATGCCTCCTCCTCGCACATGCGCTGAGCCTCCTCTGCTCGACCCTGCCGAAGCAGCGATTCCACGAGGCGGTCCAGCGCAGCGGCGTGCAGGGCATTGCACCCAAGCTTCTGGGAGGCTTGCAGGCACTCTTTGGCCGCAGCCTCCGCCAGCTCTGCTGGTGCTCCTTTGATGCCCTCGCCTCGCAATGCTGTATCCACCAGGATCAAGGACCGTGGCTTATTGGATGATGGCAAAGAAGACAACCAGGCACTGGCAGACAGAAGCCACCCGATGGCTTCGGCTCTCGATTTCGACTCCGACGCGACTTGCTGGACTCGCTGGGCGGCTGCAATCGCTTCAGCAAAGCTGCCAGCTTGACGCTGGCTAATGGAGACGATGCCTGTTGCCAGGATCCGCAGCTCAGGCTCCGGGAGGTTCCCCTGGATTTCGAGCATGCGCGTGGCAAACTCCAGGGCTTGGTCTGGCCGTTGCCTTGCCAAGGCTGCACGGGCTTGTACTTGCAACATGCGTCCCTGCACCAGGGCAAATGTGAGAGATGCCGATATGCGGTAAATTCACTGACAACGGCTGGCTGGCCTCAAGCCGCACATCTGAACCTGCTTCGCGGGCCTGACTGACAGACGCAGTTGCGAGTGCACGCTGCCCCGGGGCGGATGCCTTCTTCAGGGCTTCCTCAAAGCTGCTCCCCGGTCCCCTCGTGGACAAGGTCGCCTGCACAGATGTGAAGAATCTCGCACTCTCGCTGACACCTCTTGACACAGGCTGAAAGTCGGTCAGCCTCGGCAATGGCCAGGCTCGCCTCTGCACGCTGTGACATCGCTGCATGTTACATCCCAAGACGAGATCTACTGCCAGTCACTGGAAGAACAAGCCTCTGCCAGTTCATCTGCAGATCCCGCAGAGGCAAGGGCCTGAAAGGTGCCGCAAACATGCCAGACTTAGCCACGCTTCCTTTAAAGCTGCAAGAGCGTCAACGTTGCTGAATTGGCAACATCGACAGCGGAACCAAACAAACCTGGAAACAAGAATCAATCAATGTGAAAGAGCAATAGATGCATGCGACATTTTGCCTGTCGCCAGCCTACGGGACACTGGCGTGGTGTTAACCAGAACACCCAATGGTAGCATGGGCGGTTCAAACAGATGGCACTGCCAAGAAGGCAGCAGCATCACGGACTCAGGGAGGTGGGTCACTCGGGCGAATGGAATGCCCTGCACCCATAATTCCAAGACAAGCCCCTTTTCAAGGCAGCAGCTCAGCTGGCGAACCCACACCAAAATTGGCAAGGCATGCATCTTGAGGAACACCCTGATCTTATCATGGCTTCCTTGACCGCTGAACACCATCGACACGACATACAAGTTCATACAAGTACCGTCAGCCAGCCAGCAATCTTCAGATGGCTCGTGTCTGACACAACCCGGACACTGTATACTGGCCTCACGGTATCTTACGGTCCAAGACTGTGCAAATCGACACACACGCACGCACCCACACGCACCCACACGCACCCCCACACACACACACACACACACACACACTCACTCACTCACACTCGCACGCACGCACTCACTCACGCAGGATATCTCTCGAACAAGACTTGCGGTAGAGGAAATGCAGCAGAGTAGAGACCAGAACACGCTTCCTTTGCCTTCTCAGCGGCCAGCAACTCTTCGGCGCAGGAGCCTGCCTGGGTCTGCGTAACTGCCGACGGCAACGTACAGCCCTTTAGCTCCCGCAGCTTGTGCGGAACAACAGTCGCGCGACGTGGCCCCAGCTTTGGAGAAGCATATCTGAGTCCTCGTCCGGACGGTTTAGCAGCAACTGAAGCTCTTCCGTAGCCCATCGGAGCGCCTCACGAAGCGAGATATTCAATTCATCCTAGCAGAAAGAGAATGCTCTTCGGTTCTCGCCTGCTTCATGGTCAGAGGACCCAGCTGGCTGAAGCCGTGCGTGGGAACTTGCCATCGACGCCATTCAGGGCATTCTAGGATTCTGGGCTACATGTTGCCATCAACGCAAAATATGCACACATGCGTTTCGACTGCGGCGGCGATCGAATCTCACTTCTGAGGATGCTACGTCGAAAGGTTGTTCCAGAGCATTTGCGATTGCCAACCCTGCTTGTGGAAAGGCTGCACAACCGAATTCAAACCAAACAGGCACAGCAATCTGCCAGAATCAAACGCAGTGGAATTGAAGGCCCATCCTGACCCCAGTTCACTCTGCCTGCGCCGTATCGGCAAATTGCCATTTTCACACAGTCGGACAGAATAGCGATGCCCGTCTGTCACACAGTCGGACAGAGTAGCGATGCCCGTATGCCCAATGGCTATCCCAGAAGTGGCGCCAACTTCCATCTTCGTGGCCTGGCCCGACTGACGCTCGGTCGGCTCGGCTGAATCGAAACCCAATGCGCTCCGTGCGAAGTGCCACTTGCAACAGGCAGGTGCTCGACATTGCTCGAAGAGGGCTCGGCAATATGCCCTGCACGCAGGAGCGGAGCAGCATCGATTTTTCCGTTGCGAGGGTCTCATTCCTCCAGCTTCTCTGCGTACCTTGGAGACGCAGTGAACCGGCGGGTCAGACTTGTTATATCAGATATGCTGCAGCATGAAGGTACCCGCACCGCAAGCATTGCAAGTCCTAAATATGCGTATCAAGTAAAGGTAGTAGTGCCACAGGCAGTCGAGGGGCGTTCGAAGCATTCGGTCGACGTAGTGGATGTAGTCGTCACCTGGCATGGGCACATTCACCCACCCCGGGTCCCTGCTGGGCAAAGTTGCATACGTGCATGCTGCGCATCCGAGGAGAGTAAAAGTGTCACAGCTCAGGAACGCCAAAGTCAGTCTGTGCAGACTGCACGAGCTCCTAGTTGAAGGTCCGAAGTCGCTGCAACACCGGGAATAGGCGAAATTCATGAGCATGAGAACATTGCTTAGTGCAAGCACGAAGTGACCCTACTATGAAGCCTGGCAACAAGCTACCATTCACCAATAATCAGCCAAGGAACAAGTCAGGTGACCTTGGTGGGAAGATCTTTGGGTCTGCTGGAGAATGCCTACAAACGCAACTGAAAGCGCTGTGGCTGCTACGGTGTGCAAAAGCAAGGCCATTCTGGGCAATGATCTTCGCTTCCGCATCGTGCGCGATGAGCCAAAGCAGACGATCCACCAAGTCGCTGAGATCATACCTGGCAGAGTTTGCCTTTGCAAGCACCTGAAATGATGGCACATGACGCCTCCATCTCTCCACGAAACTCTTGCAGGGTCACGACACCGGGACGAAGTGGACCCATGGCTGCAGCAGATGCATTGGTGCCATGAGTTGCCAAGGCTGGTCTGGGATAAGTACCAGCGCACCCATGAAGAGCTGCCAGGACAGTCGGTCAGCAGCAGAGTTGCCCTCGATGGCAATCTGATACTTGTACTTACCAAATGCCTCAGACTGAATCCGTGGGGCGATCAGCTCCTCATCCCGCAAGAACTCTTCTAAGTCCTCCGCCATCCGCACCACCGTCGAAGACTCCACAAATTTGGCATCAATAAAAGGAACGAAGCGGCTGAGCCAGACTAGGCGACCACGTGGCAGCTGCAGCCATGTGGTGAAATTCCAAGCCGGTAGCCTCTTAACCTGTGGCAAAGTCACACATTTCTCCATCATTGCCGGGTCTCTTGCAGCAGGCGCTGCTTTGCAATCCTCAGCCCACAGGTTCGAATGCGTCCCTCGCCAAATCAAGACCGCTTTTCGGTCCTCCCATCTAAACCTTTCCATAGCCACCATGCCCTCCTTCAACTTTCGGTGACACTGCGCAGGGTGCATCTGCCACTCGGAAGGCAGCACGATCGTGGAGGTCCAGCGCGTCCCCACCTGGAGAACGACAGACATCAACTGGTGTTGTTGCGCTCCTAAACTGGCTACCTTTCGGGATATAAAGACTGAGCCATAGCCACCCGAGTAAACACCGGCACTTCGGGAAGAGCATGGTCCACCACGTCGTCGGCAGCATTTAAAACGAAGCTCAATTTCGGCAGAGGCCTCGTGGACTGGATAACATTCAAGGCAAGGAGGACAGCTCGCAAGTATGAGCAGTCAAATCCGTGGCAAGCATGGCTCTCTGGACATGATGACACGGTCCCATCCTCATGAACTGAGATGAGGCAACCGTTGACATGCGTTTCCTTGCTGAGGTCCCAGTGCAGTTGCGGGCCCCGCTTCACTATGCTGTCCCTGCGTGGTCTCAGGGCTTCAAGCTGCGAGGTCATGCTGTCCCGCAGATCATCCGGAAGGTGTGCGAAGGTTTTCCGCGAGTAGACAGGAAAGCAGCAGCGCGTGAACTCGTCCCAAATTTCTTCCTCAGGTGGTCGGAGGGATGTGTCCTCACAGTAAACCTCCGCTGGCTCGCAGCACTCGCAGTTGGGGCTCCAGATCATGGGCGAGTCAGGCACACTGCATGCCCATGCCCACATTCCAAGTGGCTGAGCAAGCGACACCTCATAGCTGAAAACTGCTGATTGTAGGTAGTCTGCTTCTTCAGCTTGATCCAGAAGTGTTTTCAGAGTGATAAGCTTCCGTTCCACACGATTCTCTAAGGAGGCGAAACATTCAAGGTGCTGCTGTGAAAGAGGATGGCAGCAAAGCTCCTCGATAATCCAGATGCCTGTCCAGCAATCAGGGTCGGCTTCAACGCAGCAGCGATGGAAGCTTCGATCACCTCAGCATTGCAGCAGCAACAAGCAAGCTGTCCTGGGAAGAAAGGCTGAAAATAGTCACATTGCAGCTATCTCAATAGGCAAGAGACTGTTGTACCAGCACAGGCCATTGCCGAGTTCTTCTTGAACATCCTCGTCTTGGCCGCACACAGCAACGCCGCACAACATGAAGAGACGCAATGAGCTCATAGCAAGGACGCCCAGATGGCCGAGTTGCTTCGCTTGCAATCGGTTGCGTTCTGCTGAACAAGACTTGAAACCGCACCGGCTCGATGACAGAAAGTCATGCCCTATGCCTATGCGCTACACACTGCCCACACATCTTAGCCTCCGTCCCAAGGATTGCCCCGCAAATCTGCCCTTGGGCCAACTGGCGATGTGGCACAGGATGGAGCTGGCTTTCAAGCATCGCCGCTGCAACGCTACGAGTAGCCTGTGGCGCCAATTGGCAGAGCACCTGCTTTATACTCCGCATCGTTCGGACACACGCATTCGTGCGCCTTCGCGGAAGGCCCAGGCTGTGCTTCCGACCGAATTGCGGATAAACGAACCTACAGCAAGACGCATCACAAATCGCGTCCCAACTTCGTGCAGCGGCACCAGGGAACGGCGTCCTAACTCTTGGAGCCAGCACGACAGCATTGAAACTGAGACGGCCACTGCAGCGCTTGCTATGACCAACGCTGAGGGAAGAGGTAGACAACATCTCGACTACATTTGGCTACCACCATGCCAATAGCCCTCATGCTCACAAATAGACGAATTACCAGCGTTGCTGACGATGGTGGTGGTGGTGGTGGTGGTGGTGGTGGTGCTGCTGCTGCTGGTGGTGGTGGTGGTGGTGGTGGTGGTGGCGGTAGCGGTGGCGGCGGCGGCGGCGGCGGCGGCGGCGGTGGTGGTGGCGGCGGCGGTGGTGGTCGTGGTCGCAGTCGCAGTCGC